TTCCAAGGGAAGTGGTGCTGGCCCCTACCCTGGGGGTCTTTAAGAAGAGGCTGGATGCCTACCTGGCTGGACTCATTTGAGTCCCGTTTCTCTTTTTGGGGTTTTTTGTTGTTCTCCCGCCCTGGCGGGGGGTCGGGCTAGAAGATCTACTAGGTCCCTTCCGACCCTTAATCTATGAATCTATGAATCTATGAATCTATGAAACTTCAAGGTCTGTCATAAATATGCTGGCATACTGGGGGCCATATGTGGGCCCATGGTAGTGTCATTAATTTGTAGATTTAAGGAGTGCCCAAACATGACATAGTTGTATGTGAGGACAAAGAGGGAGAGCTTAATGGAAACAGAAGCAATTTTCTTGTCAGGGATAATGTTCTTTATGGCTTGTAGGATGTTGGTTTACAGAGATGTGACATCCATGGTAGCTAATATGGTAGCTAAATTGGTGTTTGTTGGAAGGTTGTCAATTTCTTTAAGAAATCTGTGGTGTCTTTCAAATAGCTGGCAGGTGGGGAAGGGTGCTGGAGAAGGAGTGTGAAAGAGGGAGGCCATGGTGAATTTGGTCAATCCAAGTTGATATTTTATGGAGGAGGAGGAAGGGATAGGAAGGTATTGGAAAGGGGAGGATAATTTTAAAAGAAAACAGTGTCTAGAAGTGCATTTTAGACCATGTCTGATTTACTAATTGCGTAATTAAAAAAATTAACTGAGCCAATTATTTTTAAATATTTCCCTATGCAATAAAACAGTAGGTATTGGTTTTTAAAAATCAGAAAACATCATTCTTTCTCTGAAATTCAGTTAGTTTATTCCTCTCTACAACAGAAACTCTTTAAAATTCTTATTATGACAATATTCCCTTATGACCCATCTGATATTGCTATGCGACCCACTAAAAATTTACCTTACATGTCACAAGCACTGGTCAAACCATATGGAAGAAGGTATGGAGAGGTCTAGAGATAATTGAAATAGATGGTTGGAGTATACATCATGTGACTGAGCTAGCTACAACAATCAGTCCTAAAAACTGATCAAGATTGCCTTGGATAACTAAGGAGAGGTGGTTAGCTGTGTTACTCTGAAGTCAGGCAGAATGCAGGTCAGGGTGGCATACTGGAGACTAACTAGTTCAGACTAAGGTTCAACTACACGTGCAGTTACCCCACATTGTAACATCCTCATGCCCTGGCCAGTCCTGGTCATTGTCTACACATACATTGCGGCAAACTAAATGACTCTGCCATAGGATAATACTTGTCCTGGACAGTACTATCCTGCAGTGGAGTAATTTACTGTGCCCTAATATGTATGGATGTGTAGACAGCTACACGTCACTAAATGAAAGCAGTAAAGCATGCATTTAGATGCACCCACTGGTAACTAAAGTTACTCTGCTCTACTAGCTGAGTGCATTTGCTATAGGAAGTATAGAAATAATACTGCAAATAGTGAAGGAAAGACAGTAATTTATTTAGGGGAACTGGCAAACTTCTTAAAGTTAACTTCTGTATCCCTTCTTTTTCAAAGACATCCAGGACACCATCAAGGACAGGAGTGTGGCTGAACTGTGACTCATTTGAGATGAAAGCAATTAGGGAGCTGTTGTCCAGTGCACCCAGGAGAGGTTATTTGCTTCATACAATTTGTAGCATTACAGGTTAAAAAGTTCAGAAACTAGACAACCGCCAGAACCCCCATATTTTCTAAAGATAGGTAAACCTCAAAATACATGAAGCCTGGGTTTAGCTTGTAGAAGCACTTGATACAGACAGCCTCTCTGTCTTTCTCACTGTATGCTGCTCTCTGTATATATGGAGAAAAAGGACCGCTTTGATTACCACTTGTTTGTAGAATGGTGTAACATTTCTTACCATTAGCAAATGCTATCCAACAGTCTATGAAAGAGAGTGGAGAAGGTTGATATATGTCCATTTTAAATTCAGGGAGGGCTGAGGCAGAATGTACTGACACCATTAGTCAATGCATGTGACTTCTCCTGCTTGAAAGTTTCTAGAAAAATTCCTTTGTGGAACAGTATGAAAAATTTATTTATTAGATCATCAGATAAGAGCATGTTGATAATCTTCCAAGTAAAATTACCTAGATACTTATGACAGTACTTAGAAACTTCCATGATATGGAGATTTACATTTTTAAGACAAAAAGTGAAAAATAAAAAAGACAGCCCAGAATATTGAGTTCTGAAATTTTAGAGGCATCTACAACAGTGCTGTTAATATCTGGACCTGACCCCAAAATATGGTACATACAAATGGAAAATATTCCCATTAACTTCAAAGACAGCTACATGAAGAATAACAAAAGAGGGCATACACTAGTTAAAGCTTACTATTCCCTGTTCAAGAATTAATTTCAGGACCAGTTGCTTATAGGTAATGTTTTATTTAATTTCATAAGAATTTTCATCCCTGATCACTAGCATCTACCCTTTTTATCACTCGTTACTGATAGAATCATTAAACTGTCTTTGACACTGAGCTGCAGTGTTCAAACATGGCATATATGTTAAAAACGGATGGCACTCAGCAGAATAACTTCACTACACAATGATATGCTTGAGCTTTGACAACTTAAGGGTCCAATGTCAATCATTCTGTCTTTGCCAATCAAATGCACATCCTTCTAGCGGTGGCTTCAAACCACATTGGCACCCCAAACACAGTGAAAGGTTAACGCAATGCCATTTCAAAGATGACACATTGTCAAGGGCCAAACAAAAATAGCTGAATGTGGAGAGTGTTTAGTAAAGTCCAGCTTTGCGATAGGATGTACAGGATACATGAATGATGACAACATTCCCAGAGGGGATGGGACTGGTACAAACATCCTTGAAAGTCCTTGTTCAAGAATATCAGGAGGTAAAGGAATGAAGAACAGCATGATGAAACCTGGCCAGAACCCTGAGATTCTTTCTTTTCTTATATAAGAACCCTCCCACCCCCCAAAAAATCTAAAGATGCTTTTG